AGCGGCTGCGGTGCGGCGGCCGCCCACAGGGTTTTCGTTCTGGCCAGCGCCCTGCAAGGTCCTTTTGGCTTTTACCGCAGATGTGAGGCGCGGGAGCCCAAAGGGCTTTCGAGTTGGGGGCGTCGCTGACTCGGAAGCGTCAAAATACTGGCGCCCTCCGTGAATGCAACATGGCAGCGCGGACTCGAAGCTCTGCATCTTTCTGCGCGCGCGGGCGGCGGGGGCCGCGGACTCGGCAGATCGCCCGCCCGCCTGCCTGCGAGTTTCGGGTCGGGGTGTCCGTTCTGCCCACGCCCCCCGGCTCCGATCGCGGCCGAGCAAAGGGAGCTGCGCGCTCGGACTCGCCTCGCCTTTACCCCTCGCCCTTTGTTCTCCACTAGACCGCTACCTCACGTTGCGGGGGCTTTTTATGGCCACCCTCCAAGACTCTGCAAAACGGGGAATGGGAGACACTGGACTGTGGAACCCTACCGAAATGACGGCCTTTCCCGGCCCCAGGGGCCGAGCTGGAGTCAGTGAGGGGTGCTAACGCCACACTCCCAGCGGAGCCTCTCGTCGGGTGGGCGATGTCCCGCCAGCTCCCCGGCTCGGCTTGTAGTCTCCCTGGTTCACACCTGAGGGATGGGAGGCGGTAGACCAGGGAAGGGTGTCTTCGGGGCCAAGACAATGCCCGTCACCACCCGGCCACATCTGCATTGCAGAGAGAAAGCTGTGGGCTCGGAATCACCAGTCTTGGAAAAAAGGGCTGCAAACGCCCCTTAGGGGCGCGCAGGGTTCCATTCCCTGCACACTGAACCTTGCACAGGGGTTTCGGCTGGAAAGGTCCCCAAGCCGTGGGTCCGAGCCCGGAGACGTCACCTAGAGGTCGGGAAGTGGGGGTGGGGGCGGTTCCATGTCCCCAGAGTAAGAAGTTCGGGACAAAATTGTATTTGGTGAAACACTGATTTAAAAAATGACGGTGTCACGTAGGCCAGCCAGTTGTGACGTTCAGCACAACGTGCTACTGAAATACCGAAATCCGCCACCAAATGGCGGCTCCTGCAGCCTGCTGCACTGATAAAGAGGACTCGCCCTGCGTCGCCCATTTTAGGCCACTTTCACTTCTCCGTGGCTCTCCCCCTCCTCCCCAAGACCTTCCTTCTTCTCCGGGTTTTAGGATGCACGTGGGACACCGGGTTACAGAAGCGCAAATGTCCCAAGGACCAGGCAGGCGCGGGCTCCTCGAGAAGCCGGCTGCGTCCCAGCCTCGCTGCTCTGGGTGACCAGCAGGACGAGGGCAACCGGCCCAGGTTCGCCGTGTGCGGGGACCTATTTAGCCATCACCTTTGTGTCCTGGAGTATGATCCTTTGCCCAGCTCTTGGGATACCTGCCCCCACAGCCATTCGCCTGCTCGACACTGTCACCCCGTCAAAGTTCCTAACCCAGAAGATTAATGGGCTCAACAAAAGGACGCTCCCTCCTTGTCCTTTGCAGTTACAAGGCCACCTTCGGGAACCTTGGCACCATTGTATTTGTTAGTAATTTATTTAAAATCCATCCAAGAAAACCCCAAATTGCAAGGACACCTTGTTAAGAGGGAGAAAGGGCTTTGGAATTGAAGCCGGTAGCGAGAGGAGGACAAAGGCGATTATCGGGCATGGCTCCAGCTAAATGCGCGTCCGTGGGCTCTGCCCGCGTAGCCGCTGCCTCGGGAGTATGTGGGTCGCTTTCCCGCCCGCGCGGGGCTTGGGGTCCGGGGACTGGTCCCCGCGCCTGGGCTGCAGGGTGGCCCCGCCGGTGTGGACGGCTTCGGCAGGAGAGGGGACACCTCGAGAGGCGGCGCGCGCCCCGGCTGTCGCCGCTGCTTCCCTCGGGCTCCGACTCTGGAGCACTACGCGGTTCCCCGGCCTCTCGAGCCTTGCAGGGCCTGACAGTCTGGCTTTCAAATTTGGCGGGATCCGCGGTCGCTGAGCTGAAGGCGGCGCGAGGCGAGCGGCGCACGCGCAAGATGGCCTCCCGTTTCCCCGCGGCCAGCACTGGCGAGCTGGGCAAGGCTGAGCGGGCGGCACAGATCCGAACCGAGGCCGGAGCCGCAGCTGTTTCCACTCCTCTACTAGCTTAAATATAAGGACAGGGAGAAGGGTCATTTCCTCCTTAACATGCCTTTTTGGTAAAGGTTCCCTGGCCGGGAGGGCAGGGCTGCAAGAGAAGCGAGGTCATTTCCTCCAGGCGCAATCCCGCGCCCTTTCCACCGGGCACTAAGAACTAAGAAACTTTATATATATATAAAACTTTATATATATATATATATTTTTTTTTGGAGGGGGTGGATTTTTGTGGCACTTCCCCATCCTTAATCACCCTTGTCCCCGTCTTCACCTTTCGTGTCGCGCAGTGCGCCCCTTTGTTGGAGTGTCTCCCACTCTGGAAGGCATTTAGACCTAAGACTGCCTGGACAGACTGCCGTATCTGCAGGAATCTCAATCCATTTCTGTAAAGGTCTAGTTTCTTCCATCCCAACTTTCGACGCGTTTCCCAGTCCGCAACCGGCCACGTCTCTTCTCTCAACCTGGGTCCTAGTTAATAGGAGTTGCAAAGATCTCACATCTGCACAAATCTTGAAATCACGTTAACTGTGAAGTTTGGATTTTATGATGACCCAACTGAGCAAGAAGGAATATTTTGGAAGTGCCTGACACTACCTGCTATTTTTTGGAAGTTACTTCTGATAATCTCTGGAAGGAATGTATTTTTAAGGAAAGGGTTAGAAGAATGAGAGTTATTTAACTCATTCGGTGGAGGTTTTTATTGAGTATTCACTATTTATTTAGACAGCTAAATGAGATTTTGGGATGAGTTTTCCACTTGAACTTCATCAGAAAACTCACAGGGGCTTAAGAGTAGCCTTTCCGGTGATAAATGACTTTTGGTGCCTTCGACTTGATGAGGACAGAGTTGACAGTGACGTTCTTCGTGTGAGAGAGACCTCCAGAAATTGTACACTAAGAAAAAGAAACTGGTGCAAATAAAGGAAATCCGTTTCAAGAACCAAAAGAAGAAAAAACGTTTAAAAAATTAACTGCGGAAACAGGAAACACTCGACTGTGTAAACATTTTCAGAGACTTTCATAATCAGAAGTCTGGGCAATCTTCAGATTGGCAGGGAGACCGGCAGGCTCAAGGTCTCCGCGGGACTATTTCCTAAGTCACATTTACTGGAGGGCTCTTCCTTATATAGACCTGTCTTTATGACTGAGAGTTTTTTTGTCTTTTGGGTTTCTTTTCTTCCCGCCCCCCCCAGGAGCCAGAAACATTTTTGAGCAAGTTTAGGAAGTCACCTGTTGTATTCGTTTTATACAGGAAGAGACGTCCTCCTGTGAAGTGATGTGTCTAACCCAAGAAATTAATGTTAGAGCCAGGTTCTGTGCTCTTTCCACGCTAGGTGACTTAACGGTGCATATACGGGTTTGGAAAAGAGTTTAATTAGTAGCTTGTCAGAAGAAGCAACCTAACATGATGAAAGTTACAGTCATTTTAATGTAATTGAATCATGAGCTTTTTATTTTGGGAAAAATACAAGGAAAACTATATGGAGAAAACAACCCTAATGTTTCAAAAATTGGACAGTCTTTACCAAGTAAGCAATAAACTAAATCAGAATTTCTGTCATTTGTGATGAAATGGAAAGAAAAAGATGTGAGACCTTACCAAACCTTAAGATACAAAGAGAAAATTTTAAAAATTAATACTTTCATCACCCTAGGGTTCTAGAAGAGACTAGATGTAGGGTGTTTGTGAAATCCCATCCCTTCTAAAGATTATCATAAACTATTTTAAAAGATCAGACGTCTTCATGTCTTGATCAATTCAAGTAGCATTTCATGAGAGTATTTCAGTCCTGGTAAGATTTCATAGCAAAACTTTTATCTTGATAGGCCTACACAATGAGTTTATGAAAGACTTCTTGAATGAACTATAATTCCAAAGATTGGGGAAAAAACAGATGAAGGAAAGCGCATTTTACCCCCAGGATTCCCATATTTGTGCATAGGGAAATGGAAGAGATGCAATGTGGTTAACTGGTTAAGTCTACTGAAGGGCAACTTTTTTTTTTTTCTTTTTTCCAACTCAGTGCAATTAACGGCCCGCAATTTAAAAAGCAAAAAGTACTTGTAAGGTGGTAAACGTGTAAAGAAAGATCACTATTTACAACAGCAACCAGCCTCATTTTCCCTTTTACATTTAAGCTAAAAAATCTGTGAAATCAATTGAAACATTTTTTGATGTTGTTAGCATCAACTTTGTGTTATAGGTTCCTAAAATACTTTAAAGAAGCAAAAGTCAAACTTTGAAGCCAACTTTTCATGTGTCCTGCTTGAGCTGGTAAATTATAAAGTTAGGAGTCTTGATAGAAGTTTTCTTAAGGTTAATGTTTTTAAAATGGTAATTCAGCAAAGGTTTTACATCTTAATCATCAGAGCTGCAATGGTTATTTAAGAATGCAAACCATGATAATCTTTCTCCTGTTTTATTAAAACACAAAGAAAATTTAACTAAAATATCCTTTTAAACTTAAGCAATTTTCATATTGAGTAGGGATAAAAAAAATCTTCTCCCCCAAATACAATAAATGGAAATGTTCTCAAGTATAGTGAAATAGTACTAAGTGAGCTATAAATCTGATATTTTAATAGGTAATTTCAAACATAAGTCCATCAAAAAGGTTGAGCTGTCAAGTCTTTTGTCCTAGATAACATCATAAAAACTTAAGAAAACCCTACAAAAATGAGTTAAATTCACCAAAATTGGCAAACATTGGTAACTTTTACTTCAAAGACTGTAAATAAACATACATCTTTCAATGGGCTCTCAAGCAATATACAACAAAGCATGTATTTAGCAACATCACTAAAAGACAGCAATGTATTCTCTTTAGCTTTTATCTGTTTTAATCCACAAGTTTCCAAAACTTCTGCACATTGTGCTTTTCATATCAAATTTTTATTAAAGATCTTAGCTATTTTCTAAATGAATATCCTTTTATTGGATTTTCCAATTACAAATGAGATTTCATTTTACATCTATAATTAGAAACAACACAATAAGACTGTACAAATTTAGATCAAAATAAAAATATATGTATTTTGTGGCTCCATAAAACATCATTTACTGAATCTTTAAAGAAAGTAGAAGTAACAGCAATATATGTAAAAGTAATGATTTAATGACTATAAGCAAGACAAAGCAATAGAATTGTGCTTCTTTTGCAGACTGTGGACAATGAAATGTTTAGCTACAATTTTCCATACAAACATGAAACAATAGTCATACAGAATAAACATTCTCACAAATAACTGACGGGTGATAGACACACGCCAAGTTCGACCAAAGCAAAACACAAACTGAAAACTGATGGGGTTATTCATATTTTAAATTCAACATGCTTGCTCTATTTAAAAATACCAGTAGAAGCTCACAATAAATTGCTTCTACTTCCAGGCATTAGAGAATATTCCACTGTTAACTGTTAAAGCAACTCTTAATTTGAAATTATCATACCACATACTAAAGTAACTAGTTAAAATGCCTTCTTCTGGCAACTAGCTGGTTTATTTAAAATATTGGAGAATAATCAATGTGCATTTAAAAACACATTAATCCCATCATAACCAACAGGAAATTAAGACACTATTTCTATATGCCTCAGTTAGTTCTTTTTTACTGCAATTAGTTTTAAAAGTAAGTATTACTAGAGGAAAGTCATAATTATGATGATATGCCAATTGCTTCCAATTGAATAGAATTTAAAATTACACATCCACATTAAAAATATTCTATGCTGGTAAGGCTCAATGTAAGGTATGAGTATCTGCAAAGGTCGAACCAGTTGGGAGAATTTTAACAACCATTTCTGAATGCATGAAACACAATATTTTCTTTATAGTATTTATAAATATATCATACAATACTGTTTCCTGTTATGTCATATACCAATATGGCATTGTACAACAAGCATAATGCCATCTGATTCTTACAAAAGCGAATCATTTAATCAAGTCAGTAAAATAAACGGTAGTACCCGCTTTTCGGCATACAGATTGTAAAACTGAAGTTTACTTTCCTTTGATCTGTTTCATGTAGCAACAGAGAAGTAAAAATCAAACAAGAATTAAGATGGCTAAATATGCAAGAAATTGTTATTCACAGTGACATGGCTACATAGAATGCATATTCTATGCTTATTCTTTCCAAAATTTGTTGAACTTCAGGATAAAAAGCACTTGTTTTCTACAGGTTCACAAAACAGCATAACAAGAACAATCAAGGAGAATGTAATGTAGGCATTAATTGAGATTAACAAACTATGGCCCAATGCTTCTATCCACTGCAGAGTATTTCCAGATCCAAATAATGGTTATAGAAACCATTTCATATCTTTCCTAGCACACAGAAAAAAAAAAAAAAATCTTCCTGCCTTCTCAGAATCCAATTCTTTATAGAAACAACCTTTCTTTTTAATTAATGTCCTTAAGAGTATCAGATCTAGTCCATCTTTCATAGCCAAATTTAATGTCACTACAAAAGAAAGCAAACTGGACAACGGTCACATGTATTAGCATCTATAAAGCTGCAATGGCATGAAGATAACTATATAAATCAAAGGTTTAAAATTTTTTTTCCTTAACAGTCTTAGGAATCAACCAGAAGAAGTTGCTGATGACCCATTTACTGAAGATTTTCGAGGTCTATTGGCAAAGGAAGATTGGTGGTTACCACTGGGACTGTTGCTGGTTCCATTTATGGTGCTGGAAATGTGAGGGAACTGTGGGTGAGGAGACTGCACTGGGGTACTGGGGCTAGGCAAACAGGAAGATGTGGAGGGAATGCCTCCTGCTGGGCTGTTGGCCTTGTCACTCCCAGAGTCACTTTCCAGTTCTCCAGCATTTGTCAGTCCATCTCTCTGATGACTGATCTTCATTCTTTTACAAGTAGGCCGAACTCTGTATTTCAAAGGAAGTGGACCATTCTACAAAGTTAAAAGGAAAAACACAATCACTCTTAACTCTTCACGTGCACTTGCCATCATATTCTAAGTGTAGATATGTTTCTTACCCTTCTCCAAGTATAAATGTAGGCAATGTCCATTAGTGTATAGTAATCCTTTAAAGGTTCCTCTTCGTACATGACATCGATCTATTGAGACATATTTGTATTATTAAACAAAAGAACAAAGATAAATCTTCATGTTTTGACACTTAAATATAAATATAAAGATCTAAAAGTGCTTTAGAAAACATCTTCTCTAAACATTTGGATGAAGAAAGAATCCTTTAAATACTTCAAGTGAGAAAAATATTTCTACAAATTATTGAGGGATTTGTTTGCATAGCACAAAAGACAATTTAATAAAGTGTTTTGCGGTATCTTCAATGTCAGCACTACATTTAGTTTTTTCTACTGATTTTTGGGTCCAGAATTCAAAAGAAAAAAGAAATTAAATTTTAAAAAATGAACAATATGAACTGTATGACTACAATAAAGCAGGTACCTGGAAAGTATTAGGTATGTCCATTTTACTTCTGAGAAACTTTCGTAAGTGCATCACAGTCATTGCTGCTGGGCACCTTAAATATCTTTTATCGTTCACCTAAGGACACATTTGCAAAGGTAATATTTTCCCCCAATTCTTGACGTTCAGATTAGAAGACTGTTTCAATTTAATTGCTTAAATAGGATAAATACCAAACACTAAAACCAGAAGCAAGTCAATTTTTAAGTAGCTATACTTTAAGTTTACTACTATTATAAATACTAAATGAGCAAATTCCTAACACAGTAAGTCTACTAAAGAATTAAGAATGAAGTATGTAAAATATTTTATAAGAATAGTAACATATAAAAACAGACTCTAATTATTAAGTATCACATGTAGATCCCTTTTAAACATCAAACATGGCCATTTTCTTCTGCTTAACAGCATCATCTGATCCCAGAAAATTCAAAAAGGCAACATAACCCCTCATAAAATCTGAAGTCCCAAGTTTCTTCTTTAAGTTTTAGTAATGTGGAACATACCTCCTCCTTAGACTTCTCTTTGTTTACTTTCCGATCCAATCTAAGAAACAAAATTTAATAGTGAAACAATGTATCTAATAAATACATCAGCATAAAATACATTTCCTAGCGAATTTACCTGTTCTGGTCAAAAAATTCAATGGATAAGCTTATTATCTCATCATCAGTTATAATTCTCTTATCTTCATCTGCAACTTCTCCTCTATCTTCATTAGAGCCATTGGCAGCTACAAAGACATTTGAAATTCGTTTGAAAAATTAAACATTTAAATATTTTTATATAGGATGGAAGGGGTACTTTAAATCTCAATACACAAACACATATTTTTAATCCTGCTAGGAATGAAACACGGGGTCTTAGGCCTATTAGGCAGGCAATCTACTGCTGAGTCACATCCCCAGCTCAATTTTAATAAGAGCATATTTACATTTTAATTACTAGGTAAATCCCCCCATGATAAAATGTCTTTTGTCCCCCAAAAATTTACCATCAGCTGAAGGATGAGCTGCATAAAAATCCCTTCTTCTCTTCATTTCATCTGAAGGGGGAGGAGGGGAGGAAGATTTTAAAATCTGGTATAGTAAGTAGGACCAGTTCTAAAATTCATTTAAGTAAGTCACTCACTTTTGAAAAGCCCTGGAACTAATTTGTATACAATATCTTGAAGGGTTTTATCTGACCTGAAAAAGAGTAAGAAAAGTAAACCATCAATTAATCTGGCAAAAACTAAAAACATAAGTTTTTATGCATTTTTTTGTGTTACAGTATCTTGTGATGCTGTCTATAGCTACACAGATAAGAAAAAAATTGTGAGAATAAAAGCTTTATGTGGTAGTATGCTTTCAAATCACCAGAAACATACTTTTTATTCACTAGTTAGGTTTTTGCATTCACTGAAAACTTTTCAAGTTACTACATTTTCTAATATGAACAGAGAATAAAGAAGAGAATATGGAAGCATTTAAAAAATTTATTCTTTGTCTGGAAGTTAATAAGGCAATGCAAAAAAGGAGAACTATTTCAGTTTTTAAAATCTTACAATCATTGAAATAATACTGATCTTTTTTTAAACTTGGTCATCACTAAAATGGCAAGAAATTAAAGGGTACTCTTCACAGAACACTCACATCAGGTGTGGATTCAAAAATAAATTTTCTGTTTTGAAAAAAACAGTGTTGCCTTTTCTATTTATAAGTCATGTAACTCTGGTAACAATCACAAACAAGGAATTTAAATTTTTTCTTACCTTATATTCAGCAGTGGTCTGGTTTTGTGAACTTGGACATCACAGATGGGACAATACTTGCTGGTCTCCAGGTAACGCACAATACACGTTTTACAGACTAGAAGTGGGAACATGCAAAGTTTTTGTAGACTATAAAAGCTAATGAGTTAAAATTAGTGTCAGAACTGAGAATTAGTAGAAGATGGTAAATGCAGAAAGGAATGTCCAAGTAATAAACTAAATCAATCAGTATGCTGAGAACACTTACACATTGCTATTTGTAATAAAATTAGTAACAAAAAGTCACTAAATGTAAAAGAAACTGACTTTCACCACTTTGTACCAGTATTTCCAAGGATTGTGGGCTTTGAGATATATATACATTTTTACAGTTCAGGATGAGCTCTGAAATGTACACAAGAGGTGTAAAACTTTATACTTACAGGAATGTAGACATTCTATTATGGTTGTAGCATCAATGAAGTACCCTCCACAAAGCACACACATTAGGTGGGGATTTAGCTCAGTGATCTTGATTCTGGTTGTTCGATGCATTTCTGCTTGATAAAGGATCCTGCAAGACACAGCAAATATTGGTCATAATTCAAAGAAAGAGAATCAAGATTATCTTCAACTCCTAGTTAACTACATTCTGAAATGCTGGGAGTTCATAAAATTCATTTAACACTGTACAGCTGGACTGTCCCAACATCTTCTACAGAAGGAGTTTACTAATCAAATCTGATAAATTCTACTGAAATGGTGAAAAAGCATCCAACTAAATTTACTTCTGGCCTCAGGTCATTCCTGGAGGGAGATGAAAAGGTCGTGGTGGGGGCTGGGAGCTGAGCGCAATCGGGTCTCTTTCTTCCATTTGTCCTCAGCTTCGCAGCCCCAAGGCTGCTGCAGATAGCACACAACCCCGTCGACGTTTACCAACCACTAGGGCTGGCTCCAGGTCTCCAAACTCACTGCAAAACTTCCCCACGGATCTTCAGTCGAGAACCCCGGGATTCTTGCTATCTTAGACGGTTCAGGCAAGCAGAACCTGGCACGTTTCGCGCCATACAAAAGGAAAACAAATTCTGCTCCATCTGCATCCCTGGCATTTCCGGAGCTGGGTGCCGGGCCCCAGAAGCACCTCGGCCGGCCTCGGGCCGGGGCCTGAGCGCGGCGGGCGCCCGGGGGCCGGGATGCGAGGGGCGGATCCGGCGGCGCCCCGGGCTCCGTCTCGCTCCGGATTCGGAACTCGCCTGTCGGGGTTTCCATAGCAACTTACACTTACACTTGGCATCCGGCCACCGCTGCAACTCCGCGCGGAGCCGGCCCGAGCCCCGAGCCTCGGCGGGCGTGCGGGGCGGCCGGCGGCGGGCGCGGGGGAGGGGCGGCGCGGCGCGGGGGCGGGCCGGCGCGGGGGCGGGGTGGGTGCGGGCGCGCAGCGCGGGGGTGGGGCGGCCCCACGAGGCCTCCGGCTGGTGACCAGGATCCGGCGGAGGCGACAGAGCCGGCAGCCTGCGGGACCCCGAGCCCTTGGCGGCGAAGGGCTAGATAAAATGCAGTCCGCACTCCCGGCCATTTCGGACACTCTTGGGGGCCTCTTTCCACGCCGACGCGGTGCGAAGAGCTTGTTTGATATCTTGACTCTTTCGCTCTGTCCTGTTAGCAATCGCTTCTCAAAAATTTCACGAAGGGTATCTTTTGAGGATTGCCAACTGTGCACTTAGCCCCAAACCGGCAAGGCTCAAGTTGCAGAGATGTTTATTGAACCGAACCTCTTTAAAGCTTCCTTCTCTAATAAATTCTCCTGTAGATTAGACGAGCCATACAAAGTTTTTGGAAGGGCTGAAAACTGAAGTCTGTCTTACAAGAGGAGGAGAAGGTGGGGATAAAGCCCTATTTGAATAAACTATGCTGGAGGCAAGAAAAACTAAAAGGTAGGATAGTGACAATATGTAAAGAACCATGTGACTAGCTCATTCCCAAAGCTAAATCAACACCTTGTCAACCCAGAGTAATGATAGGAGAGAAAACAAATGTCATTTACTCTGTAACTTCCACACAAACCCCTACACGATGAAATGATATTCCCAAGATATTGTACATTATACGAAAAATCATGGTGAGGAACTGTCAGCAACAATACACCAGAGAACAATCAGGGAAGTCAATTACTTGGCATAGAATTATTGGAAAGTAACATTTCTTACTAACACCCCCTCTTCATTCCAGAACCTGAAATGCCTTTAGTACATTTTCAAAGCTGCCTTGAATGGAAATCTAGGAACTCGTGAAACTTGCAGCAAGATGAATCTAAGGTTTTAATTCTTAGGGAATTTTAAAGCAGAAGAGGGAAATATTAATCAATATACCTTAATGGCTGAAATTAATAGAGTCGAGTACTAAAGCATGGCCAAAACCAAAACCAAGCTTCTCTTATTAAAGTGACCACACTGGCAACCAGCGACTTCAAGGAGAAAACTTCTTGTGATTTCTCAGTTACCTTAGGATTACTTATTTAGAAGAATACTGTCAACATACATTAACATAAATCTAAGAGGAATCACGGAGCAATTGTAGATGGAATAATGTCCCTGGAGAGTAGCAATATATAAATCCAAGTATATCTGGTGACTAAAGACCAGCCTGCACAGTACTTAAAGAAAACTCTCCTAGAAAGATAGTCAGCAAGGTGGTGCTCTGTTTTCCTGTGAAAGCATTCCACACTAATACCACTGATCCTGAAGTTCATCAAAGGGCTCCAATAAAAGCAGCTGCTTTTATTTCCTTCTCTGTCTTACGGAAAATAACACTATACAAACACAAACTTAGAGAACAATCAAACCTCAATGGAGGGCTATCTACTGGTTGGCTTTGAACACATACACTTGACTAAAACCCTTTCAAATTCACCTTAAGTCTTAATTGACACAACTCCCCTACCTCAGTGGAGAAGAATTTGGCCACAAGCCTACTAACATTCATAATAATAATAAATATCACTTTGTTACTTATATAAACCTTAGTTCTTAATTTTTTTAGCCTATTGGGACAACCTAAGGAAGACTTCCAAAATGTTTGACATGCTTGATTAAGTTTAAGAAATAACCTCTTGCACCTTAGAAATGAAGATCTTCTAGGTCCCAACAGAGAAACTATCCCTAAGACAGTAAAAATGCACCAAACAGACCTGTGAACATACTCAGTAGTTAAAACTTGCCATTATAACATAGTCAGTTGGGACCGTCAGTTTTTAGTTGGAGGCCTAACACCGGTAATGTCAAAATGAAGGAAAACAGAAGCAAGTTCTTATGTTAACAACCAGCATGACTACTGCAATCTAAGAAATGCAAATCAACTCCATAACGCCAGTGGGGGCTCACAGTTCAATATAAGTAGGGGTAAAGTTGGGAGTTAACTTGATTCCTGGGAAGAATTTTGCCTGTTTGGACACTTTGACATACATTGCAGTACTTAGTGGTGGAATATTAATGGATTTATCAAATACAATTAAATGCTTGATTTTCTTACAAAAGCTGGGGTGTGTGTGTGTGTGTGTGTGTGTGTGTGTGTATACACATGCATACACTATATCTTTTATATGGTTTTTAAAGATACTATTACTAGGGGTATAATTTGCAGAGGTGGGTTACTGCAAACATCTCTGCACTTTGGTGGGGGATGTTTGAAGATGGACTCAAGTATAAAATTTTTACATAATTTCACTCATAAAATCAATCTCTGAGAAATTGTATTTAACTTCTGATCAGTCTACTTAAAACCCAAATGTTACTATATAGTCTCATAACCTGGTACATATTGTCAACAATTTTCATCCTTAAACATCAATTCTTCAGTACAGCTTATGTGTTTCCAAAAGCTGGGAGGGTTAAGATTCCTATAATAAATATGTTCAACCACTTCAAACATTCTGCATACCACCAACTTACACTTGCATTTGGATGAATATGCCCGAAATTTTGCCTACTTTAAGGGAAAGGGTTAATACATGATTCTCTTTCAGATATTGAACCGTGACCACTAAGCCCACTAAATCCTTTTATTGCAATTGAGAATGATCAAAGTCTCTCTACTTGTTTATTTCCAATTATTAACTGTAAATCTCTGGGGAAAAGATCATGCTCTATCGCTGTCAAGCCCAAATGACTGTGTAAACATAATCAACTTTTTAGTGGTGCTCCTTTCCCAAAGCATCCCTTTACCACATGACCTATGCTGACACTAAGCAAAACCTATAAAACGCACTGGACTTAAGTCATGAGTTTGAATGCATCCCTTATAGACAGAAAAGTTATAGTCTTTGCAAGGGAAGAAAAGAAAAAAAAAAAGAGGGGGAAAGTAGAGAAAGAAAGGAAACCTCCAGTAAGACTAACGTCCAGTCACCATCTTCACTTCCCCCCCCCAGAAGCTCCAAATTCGAAATGCCCATTACCCAGTAAGCAGGTCCCAAGTCTGTTTGGAGCACTGGTCCAAGACTCCCAACAAACACCACCTTGAAAACTTTGCCATTTTCAACACAAATGCACAAGACCTTGGGAACAACTAGGAACCGCCATCTTACAAGCCATCCAATTTCACACAAGTGTCCCTCCAAGTTAAGTTAATAACATTTGTGTTGGGGTCCGCTCCAGTCTAACACCCATCTGGTCGGGATCGCTGCCCCCCAGGTATCCCGTCCCTATAAAATGGGGGCGGTCCTTGGCTGTTCAAACCCCTCCAAAGCCCTTTCTTCGGGAGAGGAGAGAAGCCACTTGACCCAAGCAGCGCCCGATTTCAGGAGCCCGTCCCCGTTTCATCAAAATCTACCTCTCAACAAAGGGCGCCGTGGCCGGGAGAGCCGCGAAGGCTGCAAATACAAGTGCTCTTCTCGGGGACCATGTGCGTCGCGAGGGTGCCGAGGGGCGCTCGGGGGAGAAAGGAACTAAAACGTGGGGCCGCGCGCGGCGCGTCCGGGAGAGCGGGCGGCGGCGGCTGGAGCGGCGCCGAGCCCGGCTGGCGGCGGCGGCGCGGCGCGGGCTGCGGTCGGTCCCGGCGCCGCGGGAGGCGGCGGGCGGGGGCGCGCGCTCGCGGGCGCGGGGCGGCGCGGGCCGGCGGCGGGCGGCGGGCTCGGCGCCCACGCTGTCAGCGCCTCCGGCCGGCGCGGGCCGGGCGCGGGGGGGGGGTGGTCGCTCCTCGTCCTCCCGCGGCCGCCCGAGCCCCGCGCGGCCCCCGCCGCCCCTCGGCCCCGTCCCGGAGGCGCCTCGCCTCCTACGTACCCGGAAAAAGCAGCCGGCGAGAGGCGATCGAAGCGGGCGGAAAAGACAATGAAAGTTAAAAGTCGTTCAGCAGAAAATGAATGTGAGCCAAGCGGCCATCTTGAAGCGAGCTGCAGACGCCGCTGTCAATGGGCAACGAGCGCAGCCGAGAGGAGCCACGGCCGCCGCGCTCGGCTCATGCTGCCTCCCGAGCCCGGCCTCCTCCTCCTCCTCCTCCGCCTCGGCCTCCTCCTCCTCCTCGGCCTCCTCCTCCTCCTCCGCCTCGGCCTCCAACGCCTCCTCCTCCTGGGCCTCCTCCTCCTCCTCCTCCTCCTCGGCCGCCGCCGCCTCCTCCCGCTCCGCACTCGGGGGAGGGAGCGCGCGGAGGGGGCGCGATCGGTATTATTCTGCGGGGCTGGGAGGTGTTTCTAATCCGGATCGGGGCTCCCTCGCCAACATCCCCATTGTCTCGCCCCGATCTCTGCCTTTAATACTACGATTATTATTTCATAGTTGCTGTGGGGGGGTAGGAGGACGGGTGGGGGCGCCGTGTGTGCGTGCGGGCGGAGAGGCGGGGGGGAGGGGAGGAAGGATGAGGAGGGGGAGGGGAGGGTGGAAAAAAAATGCACCGCTGAAGGCAGAGTGGAAACTGACACCGGCTCCAAAATGGCTCAGAGTCCGCCCGCCCCCTCCCCCTGCCGCCCCCCCACTGGGTCACGTGCTCCCCTCATTCCTTAAGGGCGGCCTGGGAATTAGTGTCGGTGTAGTCGGGCCCGTGGCCGCCCCCTCCCCTCCGAGCCGCGCGCCCGGCCCCCTCCCCCCAGCTCTGCGCCGCGGCGGCGCTGGCGCGGCCGCGGAGACATTTCTCCACAGCGCCACACGCGCCACCCTGCTCTCGGCGCGGGTATCGCTCTGGCCCCGCACGCCGCGCAGCCCACCCCACCCCCCGTTATTTCTTTCTCCCGCCCGCCCCTCTCCGTTCGCGGCGTGCAAGTCCACGGCTCCCGCCGACGGGGGCGCCCGGCCTCTGCACCCGCTCAGCCCCGGGGCTGCGGCCCAGACTCTGGCGCCGAACCTGCGCCCGCGCTGGGCTCGCGGAAACAACAGCGCCCGCCCGTCTTCCCGCGGCCGAGGCGGGGCGCGCGCGGGCAGCGCTGCTCCGGGTCGGGCTCCGCGCAGGTAGCGGTCGGCCCGCCCCGCCGCGGCCACCGTGCCCCAGCCCCAGCCCGGGTCCCCGACCCTGCCCCGGGGATCGCATCCTCCCCACTGCGCCCCAGAACCGCGAGCGGTCAGGTAACGCGGATCGCAGCCAGCCCTCCACACAGTCATAGTTCAACACGAAGTCCAAACAAAATATCGCCGCTCTTTTTGTGGGAACACCACCTTGTTTATTCAGGGTGTGACACTACTTTCTTTCATAGGACTTGAAAACAAAATAAGAGAAATGTACAGTTAAAGCTAACGAGGATTTAAATGATCTTAACCTTTTCACACGTGTAAAAAAAGTTCAAAATGGGTAAGTACAAAATGGTATAAGCACAAAAGGAAAATCTTTTTTTCTACTGAAAATGAGGACATCCAGCTGGCACAAACGACGGTTCGGTTCGGCTGGAGGCAAGGCGGTTCTGGTTTTCCACTACACTGAGCGGATCCTTGGCTTCCCCAAGTTACAACTGAGTTGCTCTTTCCAGGCTTTTCGAAGCATCTTTGAGTTTCCCCACCAAGTCCTAAAAGACGTATATCATGCCTTGTTTTTAGGATAAATCTTGTAACGAAGTATCCAAGTTCGAGAGGGTTGCAAAAAAAAAAAAGTCGGGAGAAAACTTTCTAAATAAGTTTAAAACACTCTAGAATTTTAACCTTTGACAAACCACTGTCGGTTAAAAGGAGCTTTTCCTCTGAAATACCTCATCTTCAAATCAGTTATTTGCCCACAGATTGAAACATGATTTTTAACTGAGTCGTCTTTAACAGGCCAGATATGTCTACATTAAATGTCTCAAGTTAGCTTAACGAAGTAGTTACGCTGTATGCACATTTCCTGAAACTTTAAAAGTATGACTAATAGGTACATTGAAAATGACTCTGCAGATGTCTTTGAAACATTCAATTTCATCTAAATTTCCTGCATTGATCTTCGTTTTTTAAGGAGTAAGAAATAAATTCGTTGTCACATCCATCAATCAATGTAGTTTTCAATTTCTCCAGTCTTACAATGGCAGTATATAAGCAGTTAAAATCTTAGGTCTATTCCCCACTTTTACAAACTCATTTTAAACTGCTTTTTAGAAATATAATTCTGGAAGTTTATTTGAATTTTTGAAAGCAAAGAAAGCACCTTCAAATCTTTGCTCTTAATTTTGCTTTGTCTCAATTCACTCATCATGAATTGAAAGAATTTACGCTATACACTTTAGAAAATGTATTTTCAGTATATAGAACATTACAACAGACAACTAGTAACATTAGTAATATCTTATTTTCAAAAGTGAAGCCTGTGTTACACTACCACTTTTTAAACCCCCTTTCCCATTAAATCCTTAACCAACCTTAATTATTTGCCCACAGGTGGTTATTTTTCTTTTGAACTCTACATAAGCACAATTCTCAAACATTTATGAAAGAGAGGCACAGAAGTTCTAATACTGTACCTGTAATTGTTCCATGCTGCAACTAAAACTGATATCTGGATGGGACCTGCAATCACTGTTCTAAGGATGAAAAAAAAACTGTATATTTAAATCAAGGATATTTAACATTTCATTACACATTTCATTTTAAGACAGGGATTACCTGTACATACCTCTACATTTAAGGTCACCAAATATGTAGGTCTGTACATCTTATGAAGTTGATTGGTCTAAAACAACACAGCACACATGCCAGTCTTTAGTTTTGTTTTTTTTTTTAATGTTCCCTAAATCCCTCTAGAGAACACTTTGTCAAACTTTCTTTACCTTTATCTGATATGCCAAGCGCCAAGAAACATCAGTTATATGAGGGAGAGATCTGCCTATACTGAAAGATACAATGACAATTTTGCATGTAACATCTACAGGAAAAACTATCAGTATTTACCTTTACTAAAAAATGTATCCACCTTCCACCCCGACCCTATTTTATTTCATTCTAAATTTAAAATATTGTTCAACTTCATTTTAAGTTCTAAAGAGTAAAAGTAATCTGAAATTATCTCAATAAACTTAACTTTAAAAACATTAGCTTAGCTTCAATTGTTTCACTTGCCCTTTGGCCCCTTTTTGGGTCAGGATCCCAGGTTTTTTCATCCTGGCTTGTTTCACACCAACTATCTCCATTCATACCTGCAAGTGCAAAGTTGCTCAGCTTGACACCTTATACAGTACCTACCTTCCCAGTAGGACTTCTAGGGCATTCTTATTATTCTGGGGAGGGAAAAAAGAAAATACATCTTTGCAAACAGAGTAGAAGAAAAGTAGCAATTGTTCATTTAAAATTAGTTTTAAAGTAAGTAACCTGATATTCTGTGCAAAACAGTTCTATACGATCTCTGTCAAATTTACAGTCTTCTAGATAAGTGCTAAAGGAGGGGGGAAAAGCCAAAGTTTAGTCTTCATTTTCCAAACTGAAATTGGAAACATAAAGATACTATTTGAAAATAAATAGATATTTAAATAAATCCCATACCTTAGAGTTGATATGTCAGCACGGTGTTTTCCTGCTTCCAATATGTAAACTGCAGCTGCTGCATGACAATGTTTTAAAACCACTGGGTCGACATGTTTCAGGTCTGGGTGATCTAAAATAAATTAATTGCCAGTGATACCAGTGATTAAAAAAAATCTTTACAGTCAAATTCCTCAAAGGGATATTTTAATTTGGGTTAAAGTTCCTTTAACAAGATAAAAAAAAAAAAGACTCCAACTGTAAGGACTGTCAATTATAAGCAAATTAGATGAGCTACAAGGCCAACTGCAAAACAATAAAGAGAATACATCAAGAATTCTGCTTTTAACTAATTTCATTTACTTTCTTTTATTTTGCCTTAAGTTTTACTTCATAGCTCCAAAGAAGTATTTTTTACATTATGGTCCCAAAGAAAAAATAACTATCCAGTGGTCATTTTAACATTGAATGAAACAATTTCAAAGGAAAACCAGAAAATAAATATTTTATATGGTGTAAAATTTAGGATGAATAATTTTCACTCTACAAACGATGAAAGTTTAAGGAAACTGGCTTAGTGGACATTGATACAATCAAGGGAGGTCAAAAGGAGGGCACGAGTTAGAATATAAAATAGAAATTGCAAAATCCTATGAGTATTTTCAGGTTTTGACAGCCAGCTTTTTTTTTTTTTTTTTTGTAGATTTAACCCAGGTGGTGGTTACTATTTTCGTTTGAAGAACTTCCACTTTTGTACTTTTTGTACAAGTGTCTAGTTTATGAAACTACAGAAAAACCAAAAATTTGAATTGTTGGGATATTTATATTTAAGAAAATGATGTAAAGGCGACCTGTCTTAAAATATGCCCTTAATCCATATTGACACTGCATTTCGCAATCACTGACCAGACGGCTTAAAAGAGCCTTGCCTCCTGGTTACTGGCGCGGAACAAAACACCCTGCGCCCCATGTCAGGGTTCTGGGCGAAGGACCTGGGTAAGACAGACTGAGCCGGCGCTGGACGTCGGGGGAGCTGGAGATATGGCCCAAGTTGGAAAGTGTCAACACGGTTTGACCTCGTAATTACTTCGGAGACAAAGCCTTTTAAACCTTGCTGGCCTGGTTCTGGGAGCTTGAATTACAGGAGCTCCCCCAGATGAAGTCCAAGTGTCAAAACAGCCGCAGTCCCAGACCAGGCTGAAAACCTCAGCTGTTTAGGCCACAAACAAGACTGGAACTCGGGCTTTACAAAGGAACAAAGAGGCGGGAGGGAAATCAGGCCAGGCGCGTGTCGCCGGCTCCGTGCAGGTGCCAAGCGGGGACAGAACAATGCTCGGGGGCCGCCGTGCGTCCCGGCAGAGCCGCGAACCCACACTCCGTCCGGAGCGAAGGGCACGGCCGGGGACTTCCTCTTCCCGGGGCTTCCCCTCGCTCGCCCGGGCTCGCGGCTCCCTCCGAGCGCCCGGGCCGCCCCGGCGCAGGGCCGAGCCGCTTACCTAGCACGGCCTCGTCCGCCTGGGCGTCCAGCAGGCTCTGGAAAGCCGAGCGGACGAGCCTCGTGAAGGCGCCGGAGTCGAAGCAGCCGGGATCCGCCAGCATCTGGAAGCCTTTCTGCACATACTCCGAGAGCTCCATTGTGAGCGCGCCGTGACCTTCGACACGCGCACCACGTGACGCGCGCCGCGCGCTCTGCCGATGCGGCCGCGCGCGCACGCGGCTCGGGGCGGCGGCGCGCGCTGTGGGGCGCGGCGGCCGGGGTGCGGAGCCTCCCCGCCCGAGTCCTCCCCGCCGGCCTTTCCGCTGGCCTCTCGCCCGCCCGCCCGCCGCCGGCCTCCGCGCCCCCGCCGCCTTCTCCTCCGGCAGCCTCTCCTCCTGCGCGGGCCCCGGCGACAGGGGCGGCTCCGGTGCTTTGTGGACGCGCTTGCTGGGCGGGCGCCGTCCCCTCCGCCCGCGCTCACCTAGGACCGCAGCCCGCACGCACCGTGTCCCGCGGGACCCCCGGGGGGCGGCGGGGGTGTCGCGATGCCCCTCGCCGCTCCCCGCAGCACGATCCTGCGGGAAGCTCCGATTTGTGTGTGTGAGTGTGTTCATCTCAGCAGCTTAACCCCGAAGCACTGCCCTTTTAGGAGCGAGGCTGCAGACATTTACTTACATAAATCTGGCTTGATTTTACCTTTCCTTTGTCATTTCTGAAGTACGGCAATGGATTCCTTCTTCCTGTGTGGTGTGTGTGGATACATAGTTACATACAGAGCGTATTTCAACAATTGGGGGATTTAACAAATTGTTCATGAACACATTTGACAGGATTATTAAAATTTTTGTATGCCACTGCAAATAAATACCTTTCTAAAGCAAACTGCGATGGGAATTTTGTGCCACTGTCCGCCCTGCATTTGTAGGTCTAATTTTAATCACTCAAATTAGTCTAAATTAGACAGTTACCTTAGTATAAAGTACGGTTAGGCACTGGAAGATCCTTATTAGAAGTGAATTCCTTTTTCAGATACCCATAACTTTAGAGATTTAAATCCTGTACGAAGTTTAACTTCCCCTCTATTTCTACGAAGTTGGTTTGGAGAACAAGAGTAATGGAAAAAAAAAAAACCGCGAGTGAAGTAGGTTAGTCATTTTTTATCAAAAGAACTTGAAAAGTAAAAAATTCAAGTTCTTGAAGGATGTAGGGAAGAGCCACGGAACAAGAAATGTGTTTTAGTTTTTAAGAGCGATTATTTGCAACGTTGGATTCACCGTGAAACATTCTCTTCTTTGTCATAACTTACATGCCAACTTGAGGGGGGTATGGTTGTAAATGAATAAAGTCAACATTTAACCTTGCACCAATTTATAGAGAGTACCTCATTTCACAGTAACAGGACGCAAAATGGAATAATTTAGCAATAGTAACAAGGTGAGTAACTCTACCCAGTCCTTTGAAAGCTTTGAAAATCACGTGCATGTCACTCGAAAGGTTTAAAACTCTACCTTAGGTCTTTATTAAACAAACACCTATCAATCATGTTCAGCTTTTCTTCCCATCTTTCACTTTCTTCCTAAATTCCTTGTTTCTTCATCAGTAGTAAAATGTCAGTTGAAAACCTTCGAGACAATCTGATCACTTAATATTTTACAGGGCAGAACTGTGTGACTGTTAACAATATTAACAACACCCAAGCTCATTATGTTTGTTACACATATTATGACCTAGCACAACACTGAGTGTTAATACTTTAATAGAATTTGAGTTGATAGCCAATCATACCCAATTTAATGTCAAAAAGGAAAGCATTAATGTCTGAGCATAGATTTTTAAATGCTATTTTAAAAGAGAGAAGCAACTTTTCTCTTTGGTTCTGAGTTTGTAGGCATAAAAGCTAGGAAATTCACAAGGGTTGTGTTTAGAATAGCTGTCATGTTCCTTTCCTGCCCACATGCAAGTACTTTCCCTTAAAGGATGTTTGTTGTCTTCTGCCTAAATATATTCATGTGTTAGGCCTAAGTGATGGGTACCCTTCCAGGTCACACAAAAATTTTACCATCATGTTTTCTAATGTCACAAAAACTGAAATTTCTTACTGCAGTTACATTTATTTCAACTCCCCCTGAAAGAGACTCAGGATTAAATATTTGCTTAAATGTAGAACATGTGTGTCTTTGACAAGTCATTGAATGCATAAAAGTATGGTCTTTAAAAAAACCTGATTACTCAGATGTGGACTTTCTTGGTTGCAGTCATAAAAATCAATGCATTTTATTTTAGAAAAACTATGTATGAACATATTCTTGAAAGTGTGAAAAACACTATTTAAAATTTTTGCTTTGATCACTGAAAACAGCATTGAAACTTTCATTAAGCTTTTAAAAATTCTGCAGACTTAAAGCCAATAGACTAAATTTGACCTCAACGAAACTTTTAAAAGAACAATTATGTGCACCTGAAAATGACAATATTTAAGCATCTTCATGTTACTATATCTTGTTTTTAAACTGCAAGTATTAAGGCACAGGGTGATGATTCTTTTCCTTTTGAGAATCTAGTAGAAGTTATTTCAAGAATTAGAAGTATCATTTTAAACAGTGTTTTAGAGTTTCCAAATAAATTGTATCCTTTGAACTAGTTGGTTATTTCTCTCTCTCTCTCTCTCTCTCTCTCTCTCTCTCTCTCTCAGCAACTTCATATTGGCCCCTGCATCATGATTACAATTAAAATAGGCAAAGACTTTTATAAGATCTCTGTGGTCAGCTTTCCCCAAAGGCCTTAGTATTACTACATTTGTTAGTTTTATGAATTGGAGTATTTTCTTTTTTAAAGTATATAAGTGCTTTTCATTTTGTGCAAAGAAAGCTGAAAGAGGGTATTCCTTTTAATTGAAGAGTTCATCAACCATCTATGGGGAGAAAAAAACTCCAATATTTTTACATATCAGTAAGACATCCAGAAGTTTACAGACATGTAAAAGTGCACCAGTCTGCAAGAGAGAATCTTTTTATTCCTGCCCATCAAATATCTGCTGATTTTCTACAGAGAAGAAAGTTTAAAACATTTAAAAGCTGCCTATACAGAAGAAACAATCCCTTATGCTCCCAAATACTGATTCTTTGATAGTTATCTTAAGATCTTGAAATATTTATTAATGAAAATATAATTTAGTGTTTTTAAAGCTATTTTAATTACAAATGGATGATTAAAAGGAATATTTGATGGAATTATAATAATCTTTTAAAGTTTGGGTCAAAAAGCATTTCAGTGAAGTTTATAAAACCTATATACATGTATTTGTTTTATTAAATGGCTTAGTAAGGCATAAAGTGGAATGTAGAATTTGAATTGTCAGGTTTTTTGCACATTCATGATCAGAGTTTAAAGGTCTCAAGTTGTATCTCTTACCTCCTACATTGTCAAACTAAGTATTGAGTATTAAGAGGGGAAAAGTTAAACATATAATCAATTCCCTAATACTTTCTAAATGGTCACCACTACAATAATTACTATGAGCAAATATAGCTGTTTTTCTTACAATATAGCTTAAACTTTGTATATGTGGATTTAAGAAGAAAACTCAAATTCATTTCAATGAAGTTATAGTGTCTCAATATGTGAGGGGAAGTGAAATTCTAGTTATGTTAAAGAAACTGGAACCACAGAAATGAAAATCAATGGTATCATTTTCTCTAAAACAGCTAGAAAATTCATGCTTATGGTTCACACAAGTATTTTGGATTTTCTCCCTTAAAAACTTTTATCCAAAACATTGAGGTTGAAAGTGACTAGTATAATTTCTACTTAAGTAATATTTTCATCATTTAATACCATTTTAAATTTTTTTCATATAGTTGTGTCAGGGAAATACAAAAGATTACAACAGAACCATAAGAAAAATTAAATATTTAAAGATAAGTTTTAAAGGGTCAACTTATCATGCTGCTAAAATACTGAGTTTCTTAAAAATATAAATCTGAAAGCATTTCCTGAAGGAAGAACATTAATTTCATTAAACTTTAAAAATAAGAAATTCTATAGTCAAGATGTTGGCAAGTCTCCTGCATTTCCAGAGTGAATTTTGGAAACTACCACTAGTGGTGCCATGCTGTGATTTTTGTAGCTACTTGAGGAAGAATAAGATAACTATAAAGTTAAAGGAATATGCATAAATATCAAATAACAGTTTTTAACATGAACTATTCAGTCTATAGTTTTAGAAAGATTTTATACATATCAGAAAAGTAATGTCTTCCCTTTAGAATTTCAATGTAACATTGAAATTTCTTTAACTTTGATCCCTTATTTTTTATTGAAGCAATTGTTACATGGGAATATCTGAGTCATGTAGACTAAAATTGTAAAGACTACATCCAAGAAGAAATGAGGAATTGCTTTGTAGAAAGGAAATGAAAATGAACAAATGTACTTTGGCAAAAGGTAAAGGCATTCTTTTAATTTAAAGGTGAGAAAATTAGGAGCAAAAGAAAGAAAGCAACCTTATGCTTTGTAATATCTAAATGAGAAAAGAACAGGTTGAATTATGTGTCTTCAAATTTCTGCTCACTGATCAATAGTAAACAATAATCTGCCTTTAGACTCAGTGATCTAAGTGATTGCCACTTACTTATCATTTATATAGATTATAAAAAGCAAATTTACTTCTAAAAATCACACAATTTTAGTCTATTTCTCCAGGGAACTGATGTAAAAATCAGGAGCTAGCCAATCTAACAAATTCTGTCAGTTTAGACAGAATTTAGACAATTCAGATAATAGTTGACCCTTCAACAGGCAATTTGGGATTTTTTTTTCCCGAATTAAATTATAAAAATTAACACTTGAGCTTCTAACATCATTGATCTGGTGTCAGCCAGAAGGACCTAGGGCTTAGCTATAAGAGGATTATAGTGTAGCACAGACATTTTGAAGCAAGTTTCCTTTGATAACTATGTATAATTTTTTCTTATGTGTACAGACGGTCCTTTACATTGTTAGTATGAAAAACAGAAGGGAAGAGAAAAGAAGGGACAAAATAAAGAGAAAGAAAGCAAGAAAGGAAGGAAAGAAGGCAGCCTGAGTTTTCTATGAGAAGAAATATCACAGAAAGTTTATTTTTTATTTTCTCTGACACATCCATCGCAGAAAGAGTCTCTTTGTTATGCTGAATTCAAATGAGCTT